AAGAAAGACGAAATTTTGCCCACTTAAAGGCAAGCAACGATTGTTACTGGCACAGTAGTTTCGTTACTGAGCTGATCTATATTTCCTTAAACATTTTAAAAATGTATAATTCTTGCCTATACTTTTTAACAAACTATAAATAATTAATAATTTTGCCCAAAAAGCATATACATGAGTTTAATATGATTTTCAGAGTAAACAGTGATTGTTTCCTTAAATAGTGTTAACCAAATGGAATTTGTTGTGGTCATGGGCTGTGTTTTCTTTGAGGTAAGGGCTGAATTTTTAAATATCAAAGGATTAAAATACAATCCACTTGTGATAATATAAGAAAACGGAAAAATAACTAAAACGTTTTCGAGTCTTACAGTAACAAAACAAAAAACGTTTTATCTCGAGACAAGAACTGTTGAGAACACTGGAGATTTGTATCTTTATATCAACTTGATGACAAAGATCGTGTGATCAAAAGAAACATTTTACAGTTCATATTTCTTCGTGACATCAAATCATACATCGACTGTATCAAACAGTGTTTTCAGTTGATGAGTTTCCCCAGATGTGTAACATAAAGTGCAAGGGACTCACCCTCAGCGAAAACTGCGCTCTCATTCAGTAAGAATATTTTCGTTTTCAGTTTCGTTCTTGCGAGATAGAATTCCCTCATTATTTTCTCAGCAAAATTTCCTATGACGAAAGGTTGTTATATACAGAGAGAGAGAGTCCGTGGTCTGTAAGAGAAGTAAGAGAAGGGGGACTCAACTTCCTTTGGACCACCGAGGATATCGACATCCGCTTAATAAGGAAATCTGGAAACGGTTTTTTAATTATTATATTTCTTGTGCGCCACATTATGCAAATTGTCATATTCTAAATGCGCGTTGTCTGAAACAATGTGAAGCGTATTTTATTCAACTTCTTAAAAGTAGCATATATAATAGCAACACTAAAACGTTTACCTAACAAAGGACGCTGTGGCGGAAGGAAAAACACTAGCTAGAATCGATTCCCGGTCGCCTGATTCATACCTGGTTATTTTACTAAGATATTTATTTACATAATGACAATAAACAGTCCAAAGGAAATCTTCCAATTAAAGTTCATATGTCGGTCAGGTGATTTCGTGCAGTTTCAAAAGTTGGCATGTAAATAGTTTATTTAAGGAGAAGGAAAAGTTGTCCCTGGTGAAATGTAGGCGTGTGGAGGAGTGAAGGTACAGATATCGATCCAAACATTCTTAAGCTCAGCACTACATGGGGAAAAAACTCGATATCCACTGAAGAGGAGACTGGGTGAGCCCCAGAACCGGTCTGGATGCTGTGGCGATAGGAGACGTCGGTGCCTTCAAGGAATCGAAGACAGGCCTTCCAAAGCCTAGTCACTACGCTGACCTATCTCAACTTTCAGTTACTAATATTTGTATAGATAGCCTACATGTCTATATTTAACATCAGTTTCTGGTATGAGCTGATGTAGAGGTTATTTTGAGAATTCTGACAATGATCTTGTCTGGTTATTTGTGAGAAACAAAGAGTCATTTAGCCTCAAGAACCTAAAGACAAACTAGAAATGACGAACTCATATACTGTACTGACATACATACCTTAAGTCGATCAGCTACCAGTTATAACAATACATTAGTTCCATAGCATATACAACATTTCATAAGCACGCGTCAAGAAATGCCACAGCTGTTATTGTATAGAAGGTACAAAATCCTGCCTTCAAACCCCATTCTGATCCGCATAAATACGACTAACATTTTCAAAACTTGTTTGTTTAAGATATATTTTAATATTCCCTTCTCAATAAATCCTAGTTCCTCAAAGCTGCCTATTTCTTAGTCTTGTGGTTGTAAACCTTCAGGAATCCTTAAGAAGGAGCCAACATGTTCCCGTAAAACTTTGATATGAACCAGAACAATACAAGACGCAACAACCCAGAATACTGCAATATAAACAATTTTCATACCGAATTCACTGTTATGTAATTATATTCATTCCGATATTATTTAAGCTATTAATTTAGGTTCGAATATTCTCTTCATATGTTTTCTAATGCCTGTATGTTCTCGCGGGGGAACAAATGAACCAAATTCAGGTGTGTGCTAATTCACGCACATTGTCGCTTGTTTCTCTGGCCTGCATTATATTTACGGACGCTTGTGTCTGACGTGCCTATAACCTCTTAGGCGAAGAATGAGTAAGCCCTTCACGAGGGTCAACATTATACGGGGTGAAGTGCTCAGGACAATTTGTCACTGCCACTTGTTAACACATTCTTCCTTGTAAGGTTTTTTGGGCAGCACTAACTTCCCTGAAGGGAGCAAAAATGTTGTGAAAATGCTCGCGATTTCAGGGTTGCCAAACCCCTACGGGTTCTTCAAACTCGGCAAATTTTAATTAAATATGATATTCACATAAGCCTACCAAGTATTGGGTACTAATTTGAAAACCCCAACTCGCTTCTGATAATACTTTCGTAAGCCACATCCCATGAAAAATTACTTTATTCCCAACAAGACTGAGGTTAGGTCATGTTCTTTACATTAGCAGAATCGTTACAACATTGGACAAGCTTGAATTCCTCTAAGATACACACCCCAAATACTTGCTATCTTTCTGCACTTCACTCTGAAGATTTTCTTCCTCATTCTAACAAAACTCCTCCCTCAAAAGCATCACTCTTTAGGTCAGTCACCAGCTACAGTTTGGAGTTTCAAAAAATAACTTTATTAAATCACTGTGCATAAAGAGGGAGACAATAAAACTACATAATAATCGCACAAAATCTACTTAATAGATCGACAAATCGGTCATAAGACAATTTTAGCAGACGATGTCCTGCTCGGACACAAGAAAACACGAAATGTCAATCTGGGAATTAGCATGTCTACTCGATATTTCAAGTCTGAAGCTCAGCGGGACGCCAGCCTGACGCTGTATTTGCTGTTTATTGCGACGCAGTAAACGTGTCACTATTGGCTACCAATTCAGAAAATGGAAACTAGCATATGTGGAATTTATTGAGCAAGGCTTTGCGAATTTATTTCGATGCTACACAGATGATACAAATCCTGTAATCTTGGCGATGTTATTTTATATGGTCTACGTAAATGGTACCGACATTCGTAATGTGTTATTGTATTTTTGTAGCAAAACCTTTTAGGGCAAACTTCTGACATTATATGTAATTGACATTTTTAATTTATCTTTTGTTGTCTTCCTTTTATCATTCAAAATATTGGAATTAAAGTAATACAAAATACATACACAGAATCTTTGACTTTTAAATATTAGAAACTCAAATAGAACAAAAGAATAGCTTATTAAATCATATGCCTTTGAGCGTTGAAATTACTTTTATGTCCTTTCGTTCCTACCTTTGTTAAGAAAAACAGTTCAAGAAAAGACTTGCCTGTTGTATTGACTTTCTGTTCTACTGAACATCCTAATTTCCTTACAGTAGGAATGAACAAGGTCTAAAACCAGTGACCTGTGACACAGTGCATTTTATAACCGCGAAGAATTGAGATTAATAAGACTCTAAATAAAGTTCTTTATAAAGTTTCAAAGATTTCAAAAGTACTTAAAAATAGGCAAGTGTTATGAGATTGTCTGTTATAAGAATTATGAGAAATACATATATACACCCTGTGGGGCAAACTGCATCGTTGTTTAACTTTGATTAAAGTTATAAATATGGCTAACATTGTGTTTTGAAGAGTTAACAGAAGTGGCATATTCTTGGAAGATACATTACCACGCAAAACGGAAATGACTTAGTATCACGTCCACATCATAAGTTCGCTCGGCCACCATGTTGGTGTCTCTAGTAGCACGATAATCTTGCCAAATTCAGTTAAACAATTATTGAGGGTCATAGGTCCTACACAAGAATATGATACCTTATGTATATCTAGGTAAAAATATCATTGTCTGAATATTGGCAAATCTAAACTGTGTGAGACCAAACGCGTTATGTTAGTTACTTATACTATGAAGGTACCTTGTTCGAATCTCGGTCGCTGACTGTAATACATGAAAAGATTTCCGTAGTATGATTAAGCTTTTTACAAATGCCACATATTATTAACAAAGGGGCCGTCAAAACAACGTAAAATATATTCAAAATAATATTTTAATTCGAAGAGCTGTAATAAAGTTTCTGGTCGATAATATATTTTCATATATTGTACACCAACTGCTGATGACGTTAATCAAAACATGTTAGTTTTTTAAATAATATTTTTAATATATTTAATATTGTTTTGACGGCTCTCGCGTTGCCTGTACTAGTAATGAAAACGCAGTACATCGCAATTGGATGTTCAATATCAAACAGGGTCGTTTAATTTTTACCGATTTCAAACACGATGTAGGAGGATTCGGCGAAATACTTGACGAATCAGTGATGATTAGACAAATAGCTTGGGCTTGGTTGAACATGTAGCATTCAATGAGAACAGAATTTCCAACGGCAAACCTGAAGGGAAGAGACCAGTCGGGCGTAAATGGGAGAGTGATATTAAAATAGGTCTTAATAAAGTAGGTGTGGACTGAATTTATCGAACTAAAACACAGCCCAGTAGCGGGATATTGTGAACGTTCGAACTTCATAAAAGGAGGGGAATTTCTTGGCCAGACTATCGACTGTCAGTTTCTCAAGAGGAAATATGGTCCAAGGAGTTAGGTACCAGACATACATAAACTGGAAGTTGTCAGTAAACCTGGTAATGAAATTAAGAGAGATGAGAGAATATAAAAATTTGTCGCTAGCACAGAGATGTTCGGAAACTCTAGCAACCAAAGTGCCTTACTTGTCGTGTCTGCGATTCTGTTCTTTCCTTTATTCTACGTTCATGCCTTCAGTTCAACAACGTGAAAAGCTGGAATTTTACTGCACAACGCTTAATAGCGTAAGCGGTTTATGTAAAAGTCGCCATTATCAATTTATGATTGTTTATATCGCTTACCGCACTTCTTCTGTTTCAGATCGCCTCAGTTCCAAACTCGGGGACAAGCAACAGTATGCAGATGTGTCACGTGGTCATAGGTTGTTCCGTCGCTGTCCTCCTCATGATCATAGGCCTTCCCCTGGCTTCGTGCGACTCTGTAATCATTCAAAAGCGGGTAAGAGCAGAGTCATCAAATTCCACATCTTTTATGAACTCGTAGGCTGATTCTCTTGTTTTTAACAACCCACCAAAGAGTCCTGTGTTTTTTTTTATTTCTCGCACACTCAACTAATATCATCAGCACAGGCCACAGACACATTTCCATTACAAATCATAATTGGTTAGTGTTCCTCAGATAAATGATCGCAGTCCATTTTTACAATCGTATAAAACCCTTAAATGCACTCTGTGGGTAAAAGTAGTTACCCCATGTTAAAGCAGGCGGTACACATAGTCACCACATTTTCAGGACCTTACATTAAATGACACTAATGACCTCCCACATCTGAAGTCAGTACAATGTGTTGTTGTTATTATTTATGGTAGATAGAAAAGATCGACAGTGATGGAGCTCCTAGAGGCCTGGCATCTGTTTCAAGTTTTATTTCAATCCCTCAGTCAGTTAAAAGCTATCAGGAAGGAGGGATGTAATATTATACTTTTCTCTGAGGTTCGTTTTTGGGTCTATTTACCAAATTAATTTATGTGATTAATTAAGTTCTTCGTTTGTAATTTATCTTTAGCTCATTATTTCCCGCGGTGCTTTTCTTAGATACTGTACCAGTACACAATATTTTCAATGCTTTCACACTCTTAAACATCGAGTAATAACGATAATAACAAAAATAATAATTATAATTCATCTGGTCCAGATAGGGCCCTTGTTAACATGGTAATGTACTTTCGAGTTCAACAAAATGCCAAAAATCGGAATTTCATGCTGCCAGTGGCTCGATTATCTTCAGTGTCAGCTGAAACCGGTGGTTAAGAATCCGTTCCGTCTGCAACCTGGTGCATGAAAGAACACCGACATTTATTAGTCTTAAAGTTAAGATTCACATCTGTGATTTAATATCTGTTTGGTGTAGTGACAAAAGTCTGCATGTACCAACTTCTTTCCTTCTTTTAGCAGATCGACCCAGCTGATGTGGACCGTATATTAGACCCGAAACGTAAGCGGCCATTCTGCAATGCGTTTACAGGTAACCGTTCAGTGGATATTCTTACATGGGCATGACAATCTTTGTTTACAAAATAAAACGATATTCTGTCAACTTAGAACATCATTTCAGACAGGCCGGTCTTGCAGCTTGTATTCAGAAATCCTCTGTTGAAATCTCGAAAAGATAACAAGACTATATTCACTGGGATTACTTTGTTTATTCTTGAGGTCTAACAGTCAAGTTCCGGAAATAAGCCACAACCACTTCCTTTCAAGTTCGCTCTGCTACTCACTATTTATGATTATTTTCACATTTCACTGGGCTTAAGTAATTATGTGCAATTAATGTCACGTCACTGAATAACCAAACATCCATCTAACCATTTTCATGTCGTCTATTAAAGTACACTGAACTTTTGAAGAACGTGAAACTTTGTTTAAAAACAATTTAGTCCTCTGTAAAACTTCATTGAAGTGTCCTGAGGAGAATTCTTTAAAATGCTTTCTTTTGTCGATGTTGGTCTTCCGAGTCGCAACTCCGTGAGACTTGCAGGTGTTGTAGACAAACGTTTCTGAGAAACATACTGTTTCCATCTTCAGTACTGGTCGAGCTAGGTCCAGATTAAAAAAAAAAGCTCAACTCTGGGAGCCCAAAATAGAGGGCGTTTGTCGTCGTCGTCGTTCCAATAACACCTAGACGACATATTAACCCCAGAGAAACAGTTTAACGCGCAGTTACAGTGCGTTTACTGATAAAGTTATACGCAACTATAATTTCCCGGCTCCCTGATGGAACTGCGAGACTCGCCACCAAGAGCTGCGAAGATTTCTCGATACGAGTCAAGCATCGCTCCATAAAAAATGATAAAACAAACAAACCTATGTTCCAGCAGTTTGTGCTGGAGTCGGAAAGTACCACTTGCGTTCGGCTTTATCAGTGAACTGAATTTTGGAAAGCGCCTAGTAGAAAAGAAAAATATAGGATGAAGATATTAAATATTTAAGAAACTATGATATACAAAGATGATAAATTTATTGAACTACCTCAGAATATGGTCCAGTGGTGTGCTCCGTTTGATATCAGCGGCGTCAAACCTTCGGGATCTTTGACTTAGTTTACACATGTTATTTATTTGGTATACATTTAGGCTGTGGCAAGAAGCGATCTGATGAGTCCATGGGCACTTTGGTAGAGCTGAATTCGGAACCGGCCGTGGAAGACTTAAGTCGGAAGATCCTGTCCGAAACGAAACTGTGGGAGGCAATCCAAGAGGCCAGAGCCGAGCTGCTCAGGCGACGTCAGGAGCAGGTGCGTCATAAAGAACTTTTGTTCCTCTACAACGGTTTTCTTCTTCTTATTATTTTTTACATTTCTTGTTGTCATCGAACCCGAATATTCAGAGCCATTACCACAAAAACTCACCAATGGACCCTATCCTGAATCAATTCAATCCGAGACATAACTTCTCAACCTATTGTTTAAGATTCATGATAATATTTTCCTTTCCATCTACAACTAGGTCTATCCGAGTGCTATCTTCCCGTCAGAATATAAAATCAGAGTTTTACTGTATTTTCTATTTGTACGTGATCAGCTCGTCTTGCTCGTTTTAACTTTATCGCCGGAACATTAAAGTAGTACAAAGTTTAATAATTCTGCTGGTTAAAACTTAACAGCATATTCCTTCACACAGCAAGGCATTTAAAATGTTTACCCTCGTGCAATGGGAGATGTTTTCTTGGTGGTATAGGCTGACCTTGCTCGTCAGTAAACAGGGAACATGACTGAGCAAGTAGGATTTGAGGATTTCACGGTGGTGAGTTTGAATATGGCTGTCTTCTGGGTTGTTCCACCGTGTAGTCTGGTAGAAGTTTACCGACGTTTCAGATGTCCTTGCTGGCTCCATCATCAGGATCATTAGGGCAATGATGATGGAGGCAGCAAGGACCTTCACGGCGGAACAACCCAGAAGACACCCATCTTCATGACTAAGCAAGTTTAAACACTGGATCTAAAGAAAACAAAATTGTTACACAAAAGTCAGCGGCAAGACAAGTTAATTTTTATTTCAAGGAAGAAATCTGTGTTTCTTGTATTCCTGACGGGGTTACCCAACGGTGCAGATACCACATAGCATCATTTAATGCCGCCCCATCTTATTTCTTACTCCTTTTATCAACCAAAAGCATGGAGCCTTGCCCTTTGAAGCATTTCGCTAATTTGACTAGCACCAGAATGAAGTTAAAATTTTGTAGATTACACACAGAACCCAAAGTTGGTTAAAATTCGTTGAATAGTGTAAAGATGTAAATTGTGAGTCATTTTTAAATGGGGTTTTACTATCGTACCAGTTCTGTGCCACATTTCTCTCCATTCACACGCTCCAACATAAAGCTTAATTTAATTAGTTCTCTATTTTCCCGCTCCCTAGCATTTCTGTATACATGTAGGCCTATCTCAGCTCAACTGCGATAAACACAGACAAACCCTGCTGTTGTCGGAATGGCGAAATTTTTAAGAAAGTTTCTGCATGCCACATTAATGGTACAAGTAAATATGAATTATATGTGCAAATTGTTAGATTCCTGGTGTGAAGAGGAATTAGACTAATTTAATAACAGAATAAACTGCATTAATATTGTCGTACCTCAAATGCGACGCGCAATGCACCACGTTCATTGAATCAGTATGTTACGTCATAATTGCATTGACATTTCATCATCAATGGACTTAGCAAATGGAACATAAGATTTTATTACAGGTGTCTTCTGATTTCATGCATAGTTTATAGAATTTTAATTATATGCATTCATGCACGATACAAGATGAATGTTGCACTGATTATATTTTGTGTAGCTTCAAAATTTCAGGCAAGGAGTCACACTTGCAGCATACTTAAACATGACGTATTTTGCGCCATTTACACTTCCTAATGATGGAAGTTCTAATATAACATGTAGGAATATTCTTATATTATGCATAACTTAACACAAACAGCAAACAGCAAACAGCAAAGGTACCATGGATCGAAAAACGTGTTCCTTCCATATGAATAATCATCACGTAAAAAGCGAAGATGGAAGGCTTTTGGGATGTTGCGCCGTGAACTCTGATAGATGTTGATGGACGTTTCAGATAAGCTCACTGCCTCCATCATAGCCCTTATAATTGAGGCAGTAAAACAGGGCGTGTCCTTGAACACAAAAACCTACAGCCAGTTTAATCTAAATGACATTATCAAAAACTGTTTTCTTACAAATTGCAATAACAGCCTTCCATCCGTGTCTTAATCTTTCAAGTGGCGCTTATAAACGAATGCTTATTTCGTTTGGCCTTAATTAATTGATGTCATACCTAGTATTACTGATATGACTGTTGTCACCAACACTGTGGAACGTTCATCCACTTTGTGGCAGTTGCAGCTGCAGGAGGGTCAGTACGCCACTGCAGTGGAGAGACCTATTCCCTTGTCCATCACCGGCTACCGCAAGAAGAGGTCTGTAATACCAGAGGGTACTGGGAACTCTCTCCTTACCACATCCGAGCCACAGGTAAAAGTGCTTCTTCCTGGTAAAAAGAAAAATTTAAAAGGGTGTGTTTAGTCCTTTAACTATACGCCCCACTGCTCAACAATTAATAATTCTTCCTTTTTTATTTGTGGGTTTCGTATGTCGTAATCTTTGTAATGGTGAGTGTTGTGTTTTCTTTGAGGTACGGACTGAATTCTTAAATAATATTTAGGCGAGCTTAAACTTTAAAGGGTTAATTTATATTCTGCCGCTACGATCTGCAACAGCATTTTGAAAATATCCAAAACGTGAAAGTGCTTATAAATAATAACAGTAATACGCGCCGACTTATAAAAATGTCAGGGATGCTCAGGTTTGCGTTATAAATTCTCCGGCAGACAGTCTCAAAGGATTCAAAACGCAGCCGATGACAAAGAGTCGGCAACAACAACAACAAAAAGCATGGGAATAAACGGAGTGAAACTACAGTATGTTCTCTTGCGTCTTTCGCTCCAGAATTACAAGACTTCATACAACTCAACCGGTAAAATTACTTATAAAGTTTTTGGAAGCGAGAAGCTTTGTGGAAGACTGTAAACTCTGAACACAAATTTTGTCCACTCCCAAATGAATGCCAATTTGTGTTGACTAAAATGTAATTATTTGGTAATTGTTTACAAATTAAACTGAAGGAAAGGGACATTCAGGGTGCACCCGAGCCCCACAGCATTCACGTGGTCGGCGTTCATGATACCAGAAGCATTATAAGACAGAACGACTGGGGAGGGGGGGGGGGGGGG